AAATGTAAGTTTTTGCCTGTTTCCTAGAACAGTGGTTCTCTGCTTTCATAAACAAGGTCCTGTAGATATGCAAAGGAGTCCTTCACTACTAAAGGACTGCTCTTCATTTGGAGTAAGCATCAGTTTTGAACTCAGACCACCCTGTGGCCTTCATCTGCTTAAACGTAAAAAAAAGACAAGTCAAGTTTTATTGAGTAGATTTGGCTACGCTTGTACTTTAATCTGTTCCCTGAGCTTTTATCTTCTTTGCAGGGGAATTTCTCAGCAGCCTTTTCTGCATAATGATATCTGAAATGCTGTCACCACTAATCGATCTCAAACTTGTTTGAAGGGGTATCATGTATTACTGAGGAATCAAACTGCATACATTTTCCTTATTTAACATGAACTTTATTATAATAAGGGAAAGTGGAAAAAACTTAGGCTTCGGAATCCAACACGCTTAGATTAGAACTCTGGGTTTAATCACTTCATAGTTGTGTGTTCCTGGGTAAGTTAATTAGTCCCTTCTTATTAGCCTTATCATTGTTAATTCATCTCACATATTATGGTGACTAAATCTGCTCATGTATCTGAAATGTTTCCAGGGCGTGCCTGGTACATCGTGTGTGCTTGCTGAGTGAATCTTTCTTAACCTATATTCTACATATTTTTAAAAACAAAATTAGTCTTGAATTTTTTATTTTTAAATTTCATTCATTCATTCATTCAGTAAGAGATAGAGTCTCACCATGTTGCCCAGGCTGAAGTGTGGTCTATTCATAGGCGTGGTCATAGCACACTATATCCTTGAGCTCCTAGACTCAAGGGATCTTCCCACTTCAGCCTCCCATGTACCTGGGAATATAGGAATATGTCATTATGCCCAGCTAGTGTTGAAGTTGCTTTAAAGACTATTACATTTTTAGTGGGTGACACCATTGAGGTTTCCAACCTTATTCCTATGTGTATCAACATTACGATTGTGTTTTACTCAAGAAAAGCAAAGAGTGGTGTAGTGGACCCATGTGCTCCAAGACCTATTTTTGCATGGTCCATGAGCTAATGATGACTTTTACAATTTTAATTGCTAATGAAAGAGAATATTTTGTGACACATGAAAATTATATGAAATCAATATTTGAGTGTCATTTAAAACATACTCATATGCTTAAGTTTTATGCACGCCCGCTTTAGTGCAGCAATGGCCCAGTTGAGTAGTTGCCAACAGAGACCATAGAGTCGACAAAGTCATACACTTTATACTATCTGGCTCTTTACTGAAAAAATTTACAGAACCATGATCCAGAATATTGGATATGGTCTGATCAACACATTAAGAATGATTTCACTGATCATATCACTGCTCAAAAATGTCAACCCAACTATTTTGTTTAATATAGAATTAAACAAAATGTGAGTCCTGACTGGTATTATTATTTCTTATTTGTTTTGGGGTTTGTGTGTGTGTGTGTGTGTGTTTTCTGGGATGTAAGTCACACAGATGGCAAATGAAATGCAAACAAGCACTTTATTCCAAAGGACATACCCTGGAGTGTGGAGGCTCTAAAGCTCTAGCTATTCTAGAAAACTTTTCATGTAAATTGTGTAAATCACTTTGTTGACTTACGAACTCATTTTTTTTTTCTATTTGTGTTCAAACAACCACTAGCCTTATATTAAAATCTAAAATTCTAGAATTTAAATTCAGTAGGTTTTTAATTTTCCTTACCAAAACTTCCCTTGTCATCTTAAATTTAGTATTTTATTCAATGTCGAAATTTTTTAAAAAGTTGCTAAATATTAATATATACATATTTTTAAAATGTAGTCTTCAACTCTTTAAAAGTTATCTTTATGATTTTTAAATTTAGTTGACCAGAATTGTCTTTAAAAAGTAATAAAAATACAGTGAATCAATTTTTTGATACTGTGGCCTCCTGGCCTAGAAAATAGTAAATAAAAAGTATAGCTTTTTTTCTTTATACTTCATGGCTTCCTTTCATATTCTAAATATTTCTAAAGTTACTACACTTTGTTGAAAGCTGTCTGAGTCTAGGGTTTTTGTTTTCATAATATAATCAGAGAAATGTTGAGAAAAAACAAGGAGAAAAACGGTACACATTATATTTCTTTGTGTCTATGTAGACATTTTTTGTTCTTTTCAATTTTTGATCCAAAATAAATTTGTCCATGTACATATACATTTGAGTGAAAAGATTGATGAAGGATAAAAGGATTTGAATCCAAAGAAATAGGACAGTGCAAAAAGCTGTTAAAAATTAGGGCAGTATGGAAGGCAGGAAAAAAATTAGGGCACTACAATTCAGAGATAGGGAGAAGCCAAGGGCAAGGAATAGCATACCATGACAGGTGAAGAATGAGCTGGGTCTACACATTATAAAGGGGGAAGATGGAGCACATGGATGGGGAGGAAAAATCATATGAACATCTGCTGACTCGAAATAAGTTGTCAATACCCCAAAGGTGAGATATAAAACAAAACAGGAAAAACGGCAGTGGAAGGGTTCCAGATTGCTTATGAAAAATTAAAGAGATATTAGGAAGATGAAATAAATTTATCTTTTCCTGAAAAAATAGACCTAGTTTGCCTTTGGGTGTTTCCTTCGTCGCTATGTTCCCAAGTCTTAATTTACTTTGTAAAATTATAATAGATTTTTTAAAAAACATAACCTATTATACACACTGGATTTCATTTTGTAACTACCATAGTTTATTTTAAATAAGTACCATTCAAGGCCAGGCACGGTGGGTCACACCTGTAATCCCAGCACTTTGGGAAGCTGAGGCAGGTGGATCACAGGGCCAGGAGATTGAGACCATCCTGGCTAACACGGTGAAACCCCATCTCTACTAAAAAATACAAAAAAAAAAAAAAAAAAAGAAAAAATAAGCCAGCCGTGGTGGCGGGAGCCCACCTACTTGTAGGTAGTAGTCCCAGCTACTTGGGAGGCTGAGGCAGGAGAATGGCATGAACTCGCGAGGCGGAGGTTGCAGTGAGCCGAGATCATGCCACTGCACTCCAGCCTGGGCAACAGAGTGAGACTCTGTCTCAAAAAAATAAATAGATAAATAAGAAGTATTCAAAAAGAAGTTCACATAATCCCATAAAGTAAACCTTGATTACTTTAAAACCGAAAAAATAACTATTGATATATGACTACATTATTAAATATTCACATATTTACAAATTAATAGTGCATTTACATAAATGAATGTAAAATTTAAGGTCCCTAATTAAAATTTGAATTGTCACAACTCATTTTTACTTTATTTTCCTAAAATTCATATTTCAAAATATGCTGACAAGATTAGACAGACAAGTAAACAACAATCAACTCTGTCACAAAACAAGAACAACAACTACTACTACTACAGAAAGAGGGGCTGAGTGCACTAGGTAATGTAGGAGTTTTCCTAACAGCAATATCCATATAAATACATAAGCACTACATGAGAAACAGCAGTTTGAGGGAATATACATTTTCTCAGTGTGAGACAAATATCATTTACCAAATCCCAACCGACTTCATAACTATTGAGAAGAAAACCAATAGAAACCAGCAAATGGTGTCCATTACCATGCTGTGTTATAGCACAGCATGCTCTAAATGTTGTTATTTGCTTAGAATAATTTGTGCTCACATTCTGGTGAGCTACTGGATAATAACAGGAAGGTACTTCTTTTTTCTTACTACGTTAGAACATGCAAAGTCTTTACCACTTCTGAAGGAATATTGATCCATAGTTTAAATGTGCAATCTGGCTCCAGATGTTTATACTCCATTACCCATGTGTACAGAGGTGCATTTTTTAAAAGAATGAATGACAATCACAAGGATATCATAAAACTAAGATCAAATAATAAATTGTTATGATATAGAAAAAATAAGGGAAATAACAAGGAGATTTCATAATGTCTCTTGTGGAAATGAAAATTCACTCCTTTTTTGTTGCTCAATGGTAAGCCCAGAGATTAATTCACTGGTTTTGTATGCTCAGGTGAATCTATCAAATGTATACTGTAGGTAGTAAAAGTAGGTTTGTTTTCAAAATTTCTTAACTACTATTAGTGTCCGTGTTTAGTGTAAGCCTTCCTCGCTATCTCTGTCAAGATGTTTTTTGTTTGTTTGTTTGTTTGTTTTTATTTTTTGTCAGAACCTTTCTTTCTGTATCCACTCATTTGATACAATTTATTCTTAAAATCTAATCTTAATTGCTTGTCAGGGACAAAAATCCCAAGAGAGTACCAACATTCCATAACATTTTGTAAACACTGGAGAATTAGAGTGTTTGTTTTGTTACTGAAAACTCCCCATAGAATTGGAAGGTAAATTTCTTGGAGGAAAATGCATGCAGCTTTATTATGAATCACTAAATTTATGCACTTCATTACAGAGAAAACAAGGATATTATTAAAAATTTAGTTATTATTATTAAAATTACTAATTTTCTCTAGAACTTGAATTAGTAGCATTTTTAAAAATCAGCTGTTCTATTTACTATTTGTGATCAAATTCATTTTGTGTTATAAATACTGACAATGTATAAATTTCCTTTTTAAAAAACCATAATACGTCAAAATAATAAATAAGCACCTAGATTTCATTGGTGGCTAAATTTTATGCAATCTCTGTTAAGAGTATTTTTGTATTTCTATCCCAGGAGTCCAACTATATTTTATACCAAGTACCAAAGTCACCTACACAAACCACCTACTCACAACCATGTCCCCAGGCTCAGCTCTCTCCTCCTTTTCTGGCCAAGCAGCTATCTTATATGTCTTGCTGTGATCAATACTACATATTTGTTGTCATTATCAAGAACACACATTCCTTCTTGGCCCTAAACTAGATATCAGAGAATAGATTAAGCAAAACAGTGATATTATTGAGTCTATTCACAGTTTAGAATCATCACTTTAGTCAACCAAGACTTTCACTTCTCTTCTCAGAATCATGGACATACTGACACAGCTGTTCAAGAAACACTATCCTTACCTTTGGTGTCTGATTCTTTTATGATTTATGGTTTGGGATTTCAGTTCTGATGTCATTCATTAATTCCTTTATTCTAGTCACTTGTTCAGTGTTGAAAACTATTTCCAGTGTCCTCTGTGTACCAAACACTATCATGGTTCCTGAATATAACAATAATAGCCAAATGTATTGAGTGCTTACTATATGAAATAAAATCTTGACATTTATGTATCATGATATACCTTGGAAAATCATATTATGTATATGTTAATATTATGTCCATTTTAAAAATCAATCAAATTGAGGCTTAAGGAAGTTAAAAAATCTTAAGCAAGACTATACAGTAGAATTAGAATCGAGATACTAGAACTCCAGAGATCACATTCTTAACCCTAAAATAAAGAAATAAATAAAAATAATCATGAAAAATAAAGGTTCTAGTATAGAAATTCTTATAATTTAGTGGTAGAAGTCAATAATCATTAATTACACTATAATTAGGCTAGCATAGATCTATGCATGTGCTCTTGTGGTCAGATATAAAATATGTGATAGCATATTTAGAGGAAAAAATATTTTTAGATTGGTTATTATCACTTCATTGCCTTGTTGCTTCCAGTATCTTTGAATAGATTATAGATTATTATGCAAGATAATAAATGAAAAAGGTCCAATTTATCCATTAATTTATTTATGTCTGATATTTATGCATGAAATTTGTTTTTTCATCTTTTATGACTATCTATACTAATGGCTGATGTGTTCTATTGTCCATTCACTTCTCAATTTTCTTTTTGTAACAAAGTAGAAGAATTTAACATCCTTTATTAATTAACATTTATTAAATAAAATTACTTCTTCCAGCTTTATTTGACTTAAAAATTTTAATTATTGTAAAAGCAAGAAATAATTCCCATTAACTTACAACATGTTCTATATCTGCAATCTATATTTTTAGAAGCTTTTCTTGACCTCCTATCTGCCTTCAGGTACTGCCCTATTTTTTGTCACTTTTCACATGAAAACTCAAATAGTTGACTCTAATCCATTTCAAGTTTCTGAATTTCTTTTCTTTGCTGAACTTGTGCCCCTAGAACTCCACTGAAGCTGTTCATGTATATATCACCACTGACCTCCTATTACGAAGAACAAAAGCCCTTTGTCTCTTCTCATCTTACATGTTCTCTCAGAATCACTCAGAAAAAATTGAACAGCACCTCCTTCTTTAAACACTAAATTCCCTTGACTTCTGTGATACTATGGATTCCTGATTTTCTTCCTACTTTATTGATGTGTCCTTCTGAGTTCCATTTTATAGATCAGTCCCCTTTTTTCATTTGTAAGTATAGTGTATTTCAGGGATGTATTGTTCTTACATTTCTTTTTTGTAACTTTGTACTTAATACACTATCTCATGGTAATCCTATCCTGGCTGATATTTCTTGGGGGCTGGTTCCAGGATTTCCCAGGGAGGCCAAAATCTGCAGCGGCTCAAGTCTCTCATATAAAGTAGTGTAGTATTTGCATATAAGCTATGCACATCTTCCTATATTCTTTAAGCAATCTCTAGATTACTTATATTACCAATAAAATGTAAATGCTATGTAAATAGTTGTTATATAGTATTGTTTAGAAAATAATGACAGGAAGAAAGTCTGTAAACATTCAGCCCAGATGGATTTTAAGACATTTTCAATCGGCTGTTGGTTGAATCCATAGATGTAAAACCCAGGGATATAAAGGGCTGACTGTAAATACTTATCTATATAACCATGATTCATATATTTGTCTTCAGTCTTAAATTTTACCGTGAATTTCAAACTCATGTCTGCTTATACTCTTCATTCATTCATTCATTCGTCATTCGTTTGATCATTATTTTAGCAAATATTCAAAATACTACAATTCAAACACTTTTGTAAGTATTTAGTTTTGAATAAACCAGGCAAAGTTTCCACATGCAGAGTTCCCCTTTTCTGAAATATTTCTGAAAAATGGGTCAATATATGTGTTTATGTGTTTGTATGTATGTGTATATATATGTATATGTGTGTATATATATGTGTAGTTATATATATGGATATTTTGATATTTATATGAAACTTCAGGCAATATAAAATACTAGAATCTCTGAAGGGTACTTTTAATATAAATGTGGCTATATTCTTCCTTTAGAAAATGTTTAAAATACTGCATCTAGAGAAAGATGTCATCAAGATGACTGACTAGAGATGCTGAACTCACCTATTCCACAAAGAAGTACTAAAACAGGAAGTAGATAATAACACGTTGAGTAGTGTTCTAAAGGAAATTTCAATGTGGAATTTACCAAGAAAGTGAAAACGAACTTCTGAGATACAAAAACTTTAAATGGCAGCAAAGAGAGGGAAACAAAGCAGTCATCTGGAATTGGCTCTGAGAGAAGAAAAACATTCCATTGTGGAGGTAATGCAGCAGAAGATCCCCAGCAATCCACATTCCCTGCAGTCTTAGGCATGGAAGATCCCCTCAGTACTCATAGTAGGGAGCTCCCTGGAACTCATGTGACAGCATTAGTCCAGAGAGGGACTTCACACTGTAACGTCCTCATATCTAGGACCCATGCTGTTGCAGCACAGTGCTATTTTGAGAACAGACCCCCATCAGGCTACTTTCTGCGCTCAAAACCAAGAGCCCCTGCATAACCACATTCCTGGAATCCCACCAAAATCCCCTCACATACACTTAGAGAGCTGCAGAGTCACAATGCCGGCTGAACCCAGCAATGCAGCCACATTCCTGAGCGCATACAGTACACTACATCCTGGGGAACAGGCAGTCCGGCACCTGAGGGAAGCTGCTTCCAGGCTATAAGGAACCAAAACAACCACTTCCCAGAACCTGCAAGCCACATGCCAGGACCCAGTGCTGGTAATAGCAACCTCATGCCCTCCAGTGGTGGGGTCACTACATGCCCATGACTGTTGCCCAGGAACTAGGATCAGCCTGCACAGGTTACCACTGCTGGCAACAATTGTGCATGTGCCCACACTTGCTGTCATTGGCAACCACATGCATGCACACCACTACCACCACTGATGTCCACATGTGCCACCCAGGGGAGCAACAGCTAGCCTACCCAGGGACACTGCTGCCAGCTCCAGGGTACACATATGCCACCCAGAAACCTGAGGACCTCTCTGTAAGGCCTTTTCCATCCCTCAAAAATTCATACCACACCTTTCAAAAACAGTAGCAGCCTGATCCAATAAGAAACTTGCAGATACATTGACATAGATTACAGCAGAATAAATCATATAAAGAATCCACTACTGTGTCCACCCAGAACCAAAGCCAAAGCACGAAACTCAATCAACACTATAGCTACATCTACAGAAAGATGTCTTACCCTCTATTAGTCCATTCTCACACTGCTAAAAAAGACATACCAAAGACTGGGTAATTTATAAAGGAAAGAGATTTAATTGACTCACATTTCTGCAGGGCTAATAAGGCCTCAGGAAATTTACAATCATGGTGGAAAGAAATGCAAACACGTCCATCTTTACATGGCAGCAGCAAGGAGAAGTACTGAGCAAAAAAAGGAGAAGCCCTTTATAAAATCATCACTTCTCATGAGAAATCACTCATTATTACAACAAAAGCATGAGGGTAACTGCCACCGTGACTCAATTGCCTCCCACTGGGTCCCTCCCATGACACATGGGGAATATGAGAACTACAGTTGAAGAGATTTGTTGGGGACACAGTCAAACCATATCATTCCACCCTGGCCCCTCCCAAATCCCATGTCCCTACATTTCAAAACACAATCATGCCCTTCCAACAGTCATCTAAAGTCTTAACCCATTCCAGTATTAACTCAAAAGTTCAAGTCCAATGTCTTATCCGAGACAAGGCAAGTCCCTTCTTCCTATGAGCCTGTAAAAGCAAAAGCAAGTTAATTACTTCCTGGATATAATGGGGATACAGGCATATGTAAACACACCCATTACAAGTGAAAGAAATTGGCCAAAACAAAGGGGCTACAGGCCCCATGCAAGTCCAAAATCCAGTAGGGCAGTCATTAAATCTTACAATTCCAGAATGATCTCCTTTGATTCCATGTCTCACATCCAGGTCATGCTGATATAAGAGGTGGGCTCCAACAGTGGTCAGTGTCTGCAGCTTTTTTAGGGGTGCAGTGCAGGCTGTCAGTTCATCTAACATTCTAGGGTCTGGAGGATGGTGGCTCTCTTCTCACAGCTCCACTAGGCAGTGTCCCAGTGGGGACTTTGTGTGGGGGCTCCAACCCCACATTTCCTTTCCACACTGCCCTAGCAGAGGTTCTCTATGAAGGTTCCACCCCTGCAGCAAACTTCTGCCTGGACATTCAGGTTTTTTCATACATCCTCTGAAATCTAGGTGAAGGTTCCCAAACCTTAATTCTTGACTTCTGCACACCTGTAGGCCCAACACCACATGTAAGCTGCCAGGGCTTGAGGCTCACATCCTCAATAGCAATGACCTTAGTTCTAAATTTGCCTCTTTTAGCCATGACTGAAGCTGAAGTAGCTGGAATCCTGGGCACCATGTCCCAAGGCTGCATTTAGCAGGGGGCCCTGGGCCTGACCCAAGAAACCAATTTTCTCTCCTAGCCCTAAAGGCTTGAGATGGGAGGAGTTGCCCCTGGAGGTCTCCGACATGCCCTGGAGACATTTCCCCATTGTCTTATTAATTAACATTCGGCTTCTTGTTACTTATGTAAATTTCTGCAGCTGGCTTGAATTTCTCCCCAGAAAATGAAGTTTTCTTTTCTATCACATTATCAGGCTACAAATTTTCCAAATTTTATGCTTTGTTTTCTCTTGAGTGCTTTGCTACTTAAAACTTTCTTTCCCCGATACCCTAAATCATCTCTCTCAAGTTTAAAGTACCACAGACCTCTAGGAAAGGTACAAAATGCCATCAGTCTCTGTGCATAGCAAGAGTGACCTTTACTCCATTTCCCAACAAGTTCCTCATCTCCAACTGAGACCACCTCAGCCTGGGCCTTATTGTCTATATCACTAAGAAAATTTTGGTCAAAGGCCTTCAGCAAATCTGTAGGAGGTTCCAAACTTTTCCATATCTTCCTGTCTTCTGAGTCCTCCAAGTCTCCAGGAAGTTCGAAACCTTCCCA